TTTTTTGTTACGCAGTAATGCAAGTCGCATGTTAATACTGACTGACTAGCTGAGTTAGTGTGTACTGATGATGTCTGCTGAATAGAAAACTAAAATACAGTATCAAGCCTCAACCAACAATGTTTATTAAGATAATGCTTCCAGGAAAATGATATTATTTTCAGTTGTTAGCACTGCACATATGTCATATTTAGGAACCGGATTATTATTGTTTTAAATCTGATTACAACTAAGACTTCCTTTCAGTCTGATACATCATCCCTTTTGGTGTGTAAATCAATTTAGAAAGTAAAGCTGTTTCAAGTAATCTAATTAATACTTGATAATGTATTTTCATTCTGTTCATTCAAAAAGCTAATCCGATTGCCATCTAACACCCGCATATATCTTACTCATGCCAAAGTTGTGAAAGCATTTTTTAGAGTGAATTGAAGCTAAGACTCAATAATCAGTTGGTTTTTGCAACTCTGTCAGCAAAGCTTTAGGTTGGTCAACCTTATAGATACATAGTTCAAATTTTATTACAACTAAGGTATTCTTTTGACTTGAACAAGTATCCAAATACATATGCATTAACCCGCTAACTGAGGTAATGTTTTAAACACATTTCCAGTAATACGTAGTGGTATTTATGATATATAGTTTTCAAGAAAGTATATGTTTATGATCAGAAAGACCCAAACATGTTGTACAAGAATTGCTTGTCGAAATGTCTTATCGTTAAGCTTGACAACTCCCTAGTAGGATAAATTTGAATTAATTCTCTATGGTGTATGACTGCCTCCACAGGTAAGTAGGCTATCTTAAACAGATCTCCTGGATAGTATATGTGAAGTGCTAGCCCATTGTACTAACAGTGGTCCCCGCTTACTACAGTTGTGCTGTTTCAGCCATGTATTCCTAGTTAACATTAGCTGTAGATGAAAAGAAGGATACTATGTGATCTAGTTATTGACTTCATTCCGTTTGTGCATATAGATTACCTATATTCCTACTAGCTTCCGGTGGACAACGTCAATTTAAGATTTCCTCTGGCTCTAGATCACATTTTTATATTGCTACTACGCTTACTTTCAAACCCACATAAATACCTATTTGAATGGATGTCAAAAAATCACATCTGACATGCCTTTGCGAAGTCAATCGAAAATGAAATCTCGATAACGCTATTAGAAGAAGAAGATTATCTGAAAAATGTGATGTATTTGCGCAATACATTTCGAACAATCTGATCACACATTTACTTGTCAAGTCAATTTATATATGAAAATTAAAGGTCAAATATAATGAAAATGAAAAGGTTGTGACACTACCCTTGGTAATATAATCAGATAAGGATTACCAAGGTAAATTAAGTAAAAGAAGAAGTTGTTTTTGTACGCACATCGGGGGCTTAAGTTTACGAATGGCTAACGCTTCGGCAAACTTCAGTATGCGCCCCTGATTATTCCTGTATAATATCTTGAAGGCTGTTTTCGTATTAACCCTGTGATTCATTTGAATGATATGTTTTGCTATAGATGACGATGGATGTCTGTCACCTGCACTTATCAAAATTTGTGTGTTAAACTGTTTTTCTAGCCATTCGGGTATGTGTTCACCCACCCTAGTCTGCATTGAACGATTACTCCTCCCTATGTATGTGTGCCCATACATACATGTAAATTGGTAAACACAGTAGGATGTGATGTAATCATTTGTGCGAGGTTGAGGTTTGTGGTGAAGCAGGTGTTTTGTCGTCTCAACAATAATAAGCTGAGCTGCATAGTATGTTTTACTGATAACAGATTTTAATCTCTGCTTCAATATCATACTACTTGTTTCCCCTCTGTATGGTACTTTAAGAAATATGTTTTTCTTCGGGACCGAGGAAACTATAGGCTTTGGGGTCAGCTGTTTTTTACAGTGGTTGACAAACTGTAATGGATAACCGTTTCCCATTAGAGTGTCTGTCAGAAATTTATTCTCACCATCCATCGTATCAGATGTACAAATATGTTGGATTGTATTGAACAAACATCTTACTAAGCCTCTCTTATATTTCATCGGACAAAAACTGTAGAAATTCAAATACTGTTCTGTCCAAGTAGGCTTCCTATATATTGGTCGTCTGACAGACCCATCTCCCCTTGCATTTCTTGACATACTCTTGTGCCGGAGGGAAGAACTCTCTTGGTAGAACTCAGTAACTATCAAGTAACAAGAACCAAATCGCTTTCATTTGTGGTCGTAAGTGCATTGATAGGGTCTTTACTACCTCAGATTATGCGACTCGGCTGGCAATAGCCATATTCACTGATCGAAAATAGTGCTTAAATCTGTTGATCTGGAGTTCCTGTAAAACTGTCGCTGGCTGAGCATGTCATTCGATACCGACTACTCACAGTCATATCACGGTTAGCTATCCTATGAAGTTCCTGCAAAAAGTCGCGTGCGTCAAGATAATTCAATTTCATTTTTTCATGTTGAAATATGTTATCGGTGTATTTTTGAGGGTTACACTTCAGGTTAATAGATTAGGGAAATGAACCAAACAATGAATCTATGAGCTCTCATTGACTAAGGTGATTAAGACATTTTACACATGCCAGTTCACTAAGTAATTAAGCACCTAATGTTTGCTGAAATAGGATTAGGTAGACAGAAGTTGAAGATGACTAGTCTAAGATGTGATATCAGTCTAAAAAATCTGTCACCTTTGGTGTTAGCTATATGGGGAAGCTTAGGCTTTCTAGTTGGGGTTCACAGAGCAACCGAAATTGATAATTGGATATTCCTCATGAAGTGTTATACAATAGGTAGCAGCAAAACTTATGCATCCGTACCGTCTCTCTTTTTCTGTCTCAAAGCTTTACTATTTCTATTTTGCTTAACTCTTTTACGACCTCTGACATTACTATTTTGATTCGTTTAGTATCTCCTTGTTTAATCTTCCTTTACTGCGCTGGTATGATTTGGCATAGGATCAAGTAATGCCAGTCAATTAATCATTGTCTACGTCTCTGTTTTTGTTTTAATACGAGGTAATTGATGCTGAAATCAGGTGGTTTATTGTGGTTAATTTATTTCAGTGAGTCATCTCATTGTACTGGTTCCGGTCATTTTACTCATTTACCTACAACGTCTTTCTTCCAGAGTATTGTTTTCTGTTATTCAAGGGAGAAAGGAAATTAGTTTGTATTGGAATACCACTTAACAAATGGTAATTGTTTTACTTTATCGTCTACTAATACATCATGAACTCATGACTAAGATCTTAGAGATCATGTGATATGTTAGCTTGGCGTTGTGCCACGCCTTTGGATTAGCACCTTTATACCAATGAGAAGAAATTGGAGCCTAGATACTTTTGCTCATCTGCATCTCAGTTTTCGTCTAATTTGAATGGACTGGAATACATAACACGTTAAATTCCTGTTGTCTTTGCATATTAAAGAACTACAAAAGTGAGTTCAACTGAGAGGTATTTATCATGATGATTAAGAATTCCAAGAACAAATGCGAAACTGCGAGTCTCAGTAAAACCAATCTATTACGATATTGGGTAAGATGAAAAACAACTTATCCTTCTTGTCGCTTTGGTGTCCAATATCTATTCCCGAAATCCTTGAAAGAGCTAAATATCTCTGAAAACGCTCTGAACCAATCACAGCCGTTCCAGGTTTCAAAATAAACAGCTGGTTACAAATATATATCACGGAATAGAAAATACGACAGCATCAATGATAAACATCCCTCCAGAAAATGTCAATGAATAAACATAAAAGCGCATTGTACTTGGCTCACTCTTTTCCAGATACTCTTTATTATCTCAGTCTCTTTCCTCTTTTTTGAGGAACTGAGCGAAAGATGCAAGTTGTCGTACAAGTGTTCCCATAGCAAGACATAGTTATAAGAGATAGGAAAATCTCAGGTGGACAGACATGCTGACGCACAACCATCGACAGATATGCATCACTCCAATTTTCCACTGCTTACAATAGCACAGTAAGACAGGCGATGGAGAAAAGATATTAAAGTATATATATATATATATATATATATATATATATATATATATATATATATATAAACGAATGAAAATTGGTAAGATGTTCAAACTTTGAAGATGATAAAGAGTAAATGCATCTGTGACACTATTATCGATTTTCCATTCATGTTATCAAGAGTCTTCAACGAGTTAGAATCGCGCACTGACGGTGTACATTTCCATATCTGGCTTAGACTAGGGAATGGTACTATTACTGAACAACTTGAGTTAAAAACCACTCAGACTGGTCTGTAGTGTTTCGTCAACCAGATCACAGTTATCTAAACACTGGACGGCCGTTTTGCTCGTTTGCGGCCGAGCTCATCGGTGGTGTACCCGGACAATTTCAGCTCACTTATCCGAATTAGTTCAGACCACCTGAATCTAGCTACCTGACTTGCATGAACCGGTATACCTTAAATAGATTGTTCAGTTTGCAAATGATATGCAAATCACACGGTCCATGTTGATATTTATTGCAGTTGAGTATATAAAACTTTTGTATCATAGAACACACCTAGTGATCGTGACTGAGTAGTTTTCAGTGGAGACCCTATTGACACCACAGTTGGTCAGTTGAAAAACCACTAAACTATGTATGATAAATGTCAACGTGAATTGTGCAATTTGTAAATCATTTGCAAATTGATCATTCTATAGCTTAGACTTATGGACAAGGTCTTCATAGATTCTCATCACATATCTTGGTCTGGTTACCCTTAGTTTTGTTTCAACGTTGTATATTGAGGTAAGTGGTAGTTTTGGGCAGGTTACACTTGTCAAGGCCATCTCAGTCAAAATGTTCACATTTTCTGCATACTGAAGTTAGATAACACTACTTTTTCCATTTTTATTTCAGACACTTCATAAATTTTATAGCAAAGTTCATTTCCTGAACTAGTTTACCTCACTTCTTTAATTTTTTATATATATATTTAAACTTGTACATCATCCTGTTGTCATATTATAGATTGAAAACGTTGCATCTCCTCAGTGCTTAGATGCATCATTGCCTGATAAAAACAGTGCCAAGTCAGTGTTTATCAAAACATGGCCGTGTCATAAACAAGGTGGGAATCAAGTAAGTCAACAAATAGTTATAAAATCCGACTGGAACTTTAGTAAATGAAAATCTTTAACATTGCCTAGTATTGTGTCCTACAAACGAGAAAATGGACAATTTTGCTGTGCAGATAGTTTGTAATTTTGTGTGTGAACGTTTTAGCATGACTTATATGCCCAGTTAAGAATTATGTAGTCTTAATACAGCTAATGTGAGCAGTAATGATGTTTTCTAGCCCCAGTAACTTAAAAACATTAGTTTTATGTTTCGAGGTTTGCAGGATTGATTGATTCCAAGATGTTTTTCATCAAAGATTGACGTTGGTTGAAAAACCATTAAAAATCTATAAGCACTGGACAACTGAAGTTACTACTGAGGATGTCAGTAAACGTCTCGATAAAACGTCCACGAGAAAATGTAAAAGTTCAGTGAACACTGACCAGCCGTCAGAATGCCCAGGAAATCGTTTAACAGGTAAAATAGCAAATAACGCTAAGCTTAGACGAGAATTCAATATACACACGAAATGATTCATCTGTTATGGTATCTTAGCTTGAATCTCATACTTTTCAAGGTGAAATTAAGATACATATCATGAAGATAATATTCCTGATCTTTTTTTCACTTTTGGTGTTACTAGTCAACTTTATGAGAAATAAGACTTCATGAAAAGTATGGGAATGGTTAGATATTTTGACATTCTGAAGTAGCGGTGCATAGATCCAAACATTCAACTTTCAACCACCTACTGAAATCTAGCCAAGCATGGATGCGTACTACAAGTCCAGCTCTTTTTCTGCATCTACATCTGATTGTTGAGTTGCAGTGATTATTATTTCTTACCTCTTGTTATGTGTGTTTTTAAAAATTTTTAGTTCTGGCTGCTATCACCTGAAAATGAAGTTAGACGAGATGAATATTGTTGGGATTCTGGTTTAAAAGATGGAAGTATTGGTTTATTTCATTGTCATGGCTCACATGGGAATCAGCAGTTTACCTATGAAGAAGTAAGGCTTTTTGTTCTCCTTCCGTACTTAATGTGATTTTATCTCCCCTAACATATTTTGATCAGCTGCCTATTTCTTGTTGTAGAATTTAGGGGTGCGAAGTAACATATCAGCGTTCCTAAATTTCCCATCATACTAGTTAGTTGAAACCAAGTGTCTTTGTTGTTCTACTTTCATTCCATTATATTCCTTTTGGATTCCTGGTACTGGGTAACTTTTTTCAACTATTAAGCAACTTGAAATAATATCAACTTAAGAATTGAATGAGTGCCGCAGTCATGATAAAGACAAGAAGATAACTAGTCTTTTTGTGCTCTTTAGTTGATGTTGACGGGTGATGTAAATCCTAACCCACGAAAACTCTGCTGGACAGGACACTAATTATTTCTTTTATACTGTTCACCTAAACATTGAATACTGAATAAAAATGTTGGCAGTAAAATAAATAATGTTGTTGTAGAAGAATATAGTCAAGCTTATGAAAATATATTTAACACTAACCGTATTTACTTATGTGTAGGTGTCCAGTGGAAGAGATCAGAAGATGACAAGGTCAAAGAACCACTGGTAGATCATGCAATTTCTTACTTCTGTCAATTAGAGAGGTGCCTTTGTTAATAAATCAATGGTGACAGTTTATTTCTCTCCCTCTTCTCATCTTTCGTAGCTACTGATCATTATTTCAGGCATCATATTCACATGGTGATTTTTCCCCGCCTAATTCAAAGACATTCGTTTTGACTTTTCTCTCACAACAGTAATATGAATACATGGTTTTGAATTTCCCCTGACAACAATCATTGATTTACTGGATTTAACTTTTTGGAAACTTTAGGTGAGGAAAATAAAGCTCCCCAGTGGCTTAGAGTAAGAATAAAAGTAGCTCGATTTTTTATAGAGTCATATATTTTTCATTAATAGGCTAGGTAGTATCATCAGCACTGATTTAATAATGAAGTGAGATGTTATAAATATGTTTTAATATAATCCCAGTGTACAAGATTTGGTCACTAGAGAGTTACAAACTTCATGTTATCTGGTTCTAAGTGCTGACTAAATTCTATCGACCGTTTTGTAATGTGGTCACCGAGCTAAGAGACTAGATATTACGGTGCGCTTTGATTGGCTTTAGTTGGTTGCAGGTAGTTGGCAGGAAGCAATGATTAAAGTTTCGTATGATATGCTACTGCTCCTTCAATAGGATTGCTGGAGTGTAAATAAAAACCTAAATATGCAGTCATATACTACGGTTGATGTTTTGTGCAACTTATCCAGTTAGTTATGGTATATCCACGTTGTCATACTGGGACTATCTTGAGGTTTATATTTTAAGTAACTCTAAAGGTCACTCTTAGCTTGAATGATCAATTAGGTTTCTTCGGTTTGACTGGACAAGTAGTTTTTTCATAATATGACAAAAGCTAATTGAACACTTCACCAGTTGCTAAAGTAATCTTTTGGATCACTCAGTATTTTTATCATAGCTAAATCAGCTTCAGCGCCTGAGTTCGGCATTGGTAACACCTCTGGGTAGATATTTTGGATTACATTCACAAGCGAGGCAGGCAGGTGTAAAGGTTGTTTGGTTGTGTGTAAGTATGGTCTTACTTGACCTTGAATCTTGTCCAGCTTCAAGTGGAGTAGTACACTTTTTACTCGTTAATTTCTCTGATCTTATATTTCATTGTATTACGCTGTAAAATAATCCCTGTTGAAATGTACTGTCTTGATATCACACTTGATTATTAATTTAATTGACTGATTTTCACTTGGTTGAAGGATACTTCTCTTCTTTTTCTGTAGACCAGATTGAGTCTATTTTCAGTACTTCATTTAAATTATCTTTCACGTGAACTGCAGGCTATCATATATAGCTTTCCAGCTTCCAAGTTTTGACGTTATGAGATCTTCACACTCCTTCAACCAAATTTGTGTTTGTCTGCGTGCATCGAAACTAAGGGTTATTTATTCTACTATTTATTGGTAGTTGAGCAATTCGTAGATTAGGCTGGCCGGGGTTTTTGCATCATTCTTTTGACATACAAACTCGAAACTGCATGATACTTAAATATCATCAACTTTTATTATTAAGTGGAAGCGATTTACCGTTAAGAATATCCTTCTACGCATCTTACTTTATGTTATTGAACTTATTTGTATATGCAAACTTAAATTTTTTGGGTTCTTCTGACTGTACAGGATAATACTATTCGTCATAACGGTAGATGTCTGGAAATGGTACCAAATAAGTCATCGGTACAACTTGGAAGGTGTACTGGATCGGTGTATCAACAGTGGAAATTTAATCGAAAACCATATTTGCCATCTGCAGAAAACAACCAGTTATTTTAGTTCAGTCTGCAGTCAATCTTTCTACCCAGATCTTATGTGATAAAAAATGTCTTTCTGCTCCTACTGCCTGTCAAACAAGTACTTCTTTGTTTGGTTTTAACATTGAGGGAACGAAGTGGTTTACTTCTTTTTTATTCACGTTTCCCTGAACCTCTCTATGTGTATACATATATACTCCTTGAAAAAACACATATCACATTCTGACTTTTATACCTTTGTTTATGTTCCTTTCTTCCTCTCCTTCTTGATCTGTGATAAAAATACTAACTTTAGATGAAAAATATCTGTATATCTAGGCATTGTAGACACCCAAAAGCATATGAGAGATCAGCTATTTAGGTCATTTCCCTCATATATCTTTTCATGTATCTACGTACATTTTTTACTCATGTACTGGAAACAAAGCGGTATATATAACAGTTCAGTTATCTGCTTACAACGGGCATCGGTTTATTATTTTTACTATTGTTGTTATTCACTGTGTGCCTTTCCCCTAGTGATTGGGCTTCTATTTTTCAATACAATTTATGTAACGATATACATAATTTATAAAGTTGATATGGCGCGTAAACCTATTGCTCAATCCTTCGCGTTTTTCTTTTGATATTTTTATGGGGTTTTATTTGTTTTCAGATTAGCATTCACTCTGTTTTTTTTTTACTATGAATTAACCTTTCTCAACTTCCATAATGTAAAGTAATGGGCGAGTAAATTTTTTATCCTACAGTCATCTGTCTTACTCTCTTTGTGCTCCATCAAAAAAATATATACATTGAAAATATAATGTAGAATTTGCTGAAGATGTATTGAATATGTTTTATGTGATAAATTGTGTCGATGCGATTTGATTCTTCTTTACTTGCTTTGTTCTATTAACTTAGTTTTATTTTTCTCCTACTAGTTGTATGTATGTGCCTTTGAGTTGCAGAATTTGTCTCCGCGATAAAATCTTTTTCCAAGGTGATTTAATTCTCTTTTACATTTTTAATTCTAATATAGAAGGTAAGCAAGTTTTTCGTTATAACTGGAGTTGGTCGAAAGTTAAAACAGTGATAATTCGTTGGCTTATGGTGATTTTTACTCAGTACCAGTTAACTGGCATAGCAACATGCTTCTTAAGATGTAATTGTCAAGTACGTATAATTTTGATACTAATGTTCTCATTTTCGAATCTGAAGTTGCTATCATCATGCGCTACTGAGATATGCAATTTGCAATGGCTCAGTGACCTAATCTAGTCAAAACAACTTTTCTTTCAGATCCCCTACTAAGCCAGAACGACTTACTGCATAAAAGTAAGATTCAAAGCAATTGTTGTCAAAGAGCAAATAGCTTAAGCTATAGTGGGTGTCCGATGGAGAAGTTGTATTGCTGACTGCACACGAAGTGTCAGCTGTAGTGTGTTTCGCTAAGATACTATCTTCCCTTGTCAGCAGATAGAATTACATCTTAAAATAACATACTTTTTTTGCCCCTCAGCACTGTGGCATAGAAGGTAAGGTTTTATCCATATAATTTCAAAACCGAGAGACTGCGCAACTTTGACCTTAGGCAAATATATCCTGGTCTTCACTGTCTCAAGGATCACCCTTAATCCCCTTTTTTTCAGGCACGTGAAGAATTAGTAGTTCTCAACATTATGAATAACTCTAAAGCGTTACCAACCCCTATGTCTCCGGTAGCTCTCCAGTTTAATACGAACACCATCAACCTTCTAGCTGGTTTCCTTCTTATGATTCTTTAAATCTCTCTGTTGTAAACTCCATGTCATCTTTAATTTTTTGCAGTCCATGATAACAACTTTACTTCGTAGAAAAACACCGATGGTCTCTTTCGACCGCACTTCAAACTACATATCAGAGCTTTCAATGTCTTCAGTCAGCGGCAAATCTGATAGCAAGCTTCTGTGGCCAGGACCTCGGTATCCTGTGTTGTGGACGTGTGCTGCGTATATGAGACAGGAAAAGAAGATTGAAGTGCGGTTTTTCATTTGAATTCATCCAATCAATAGGGATAACGTATAGAATTCACCCTTCGAGTATCTTAGGCCTCCTCAGCTGCTTCTTGTAGGCGTAGGTAGATATGTCGAGCTCTGAAATTTGACTCCAAATTTGTATACGTGTCCAGATACACTGTCGCCTATTTATAATTCCCGACACTGCTGATCCACCTGCGTCAGACAGTGTAAATATCAGGAGTTAATGTGAAGTATATATCAGGATGTTGTATTCGTCAATGAGCGAGCAAGAAGTCTTTTTCAGTACAACTAAACAAAAAATGTTCAATGAGTTGTTACATATATCAACACAATACAGTGAAACAAAATGCTACATAAGTCCCGCCCCAGAATACAGATGTGAGAGGGAATATCTGTGTTCGATATAAAATGTTATGAAAAAGGTAAATTTATTTTGAAGATATTCGAGACAGAAGAAATGTTAAGGATATCTGTTATCAGGATGCAAACTGATTAGAAGAGTGTTTACATAAAAATGGAGTGTATGATATTCGAAACACTAAAATAACTTTACCAAAGTATTGATATATCCGGAGATAAAAAAAAACAACCAAAATCGTATTACCTGGAACATTGTTGAGAAATAAGAGATTCGGAAGTCCATGGTGCCCGGAAAAAAATTTTGTTTTGTGTATGCGGAAAAGTCTGACAAAATCGTGTGGTCTTGTTTTCAACAAGGTAATGAACGAAAAACGATAATAATGTTACTAGGGAATTAGTTTTATGAAATGTAAATTGTTTGAAAGTAACGTCGTGGCCAACGGACTCTTTTTCCGGATCTCGTGGTTCTGCTACCGTCGCTAGTATTGGGTGATTAGGACGCCGTTGTTTCTGTTTTGACAGTGGTTTTCGTTGTTTCCGGTTGCTTCACTGCGGGTTCAGACTTGGTATCCGTGACTTCTGGTTCCATAAATGCTGGTTTGATTATATCAATGCTGACCGTTTCTCGTCTACCCGAGCGTTCGACCGTGACAACTTTGTCTGATTTACTAATTACCTTGAAAGGTCCTTCATACGGAGGCTGTAAGGGTTTTCGTACGCCGTCGTGTCGGACAAAAGCGTGAGTGCAGTTTGAGATGCACTGAGGTACGTAAACTTGGTTGTCTCGGTATCGTGGGGACTGAGGTCGAAGTGTGCTCATGTGTCGCCGTAGTTGTTGTACATAGTTAGTCAAGTCCGGTGGAACGTCTGTTGCCGGGTTAAAATACTCTCCTGGCAATCTTAAAGTAGTTCCATAAACTAACTCAGCAGTACAGCAGCCAATGTCCTGCTTGACACTCGAACGTATACCAAGGAGTACTAGTGGTAATTTGTCACTCCACTTGTCATCAGTCTTTACTGCCATCAGTGCTGCTTTTAGTTGTCGATGGAACCTTTCAACAATACCATTGGATGCAGGATGGTACGCAGTGGTTCTTATGCGCTTGATCCCGAGAAGTTCAGTTAACTGTTGAAATAGACTACTCTCGAACTGCGCACCTCTATCTGTGGTGATGACACTTGGGACACCAAAGTTAGAAATCCAGTGTTGGATGATATTTCTCGCTACTGTTTCGGCAGATATATCCTGCAGAGGTATTGCCACTGGCCATCTCGTGAATCGGTCTACACATGTTAAAATGTAGCTAAAACCATTTGACGGAGGTAGTGGTCCAACGATGTCAACGTGTATATGGTCAAATCTGCCATCCGGTGGGAAAATCTTCCCGTAGGTGAAAGAATATGTCTTTGCACTTTCGATCGCTGGCACGCTAAACAAGCTCTGGACCACTGTCGAAGATCTCGATTCATCTTTGGCCAGACGTATCGGTCAGTAATTAACTTCACCGTAGCTCGAATACCAGGATGTGAAATGCCATGCATCTTAGAGAAGACTAATCGTCTCATTGATAACGGCACAAACGGGCGCGGTTTACCCTTGGATACATCACAGGTGATGGATACAGAGTCATCAAGTGTCACTTCTTCAAGACGTAATGAGGTGTTCACATTGTTTTTCAAATGTTTCAAGTCCTCATCCGTGGCCTGCAACTTTGCCATTTCTGCTAGGTCAATACGGTCACGTTCTAAGACGTTTACGTACATACGAGACAAAGCATCAGCTGCCTCATTTTTGCTGCCTTTGATATACCTTATATCTGAAGTGAATTGTGAAATAAATTCTAAATGTCGAATTTCTCGGGGTGAGTAGTTGTCATGCTTTGCATCAATTGCTTTTGTGAGTGGCTTATGGTCGGTGAATACTATAAATGAGTACCCTTCGAGCATATATCTGAAGTGCTTGATAGCCAAGTAAATCGCCAGTAGCTCTCTCCCGAATGTACTGTATCGCGATTGAGAAGCATTAAGTCGTTTCGAGAAGAAAGATAATGGTTCCCACTGACCGTGAACAAACTGTTGTAGTACTGCGCCTACCGCAACATTTGAAGCGTCTGTCATGATGGCTAGTGGTGCTTCTGAATCACGACGAGAGAGAAGCTTCAGTTTATCAAAAGCATCATGGGCCGCTTGGGTCATGTGAAACACTTTGGCTCGTCCTTGCAATAAATCTGTCAGCGGTTGGGCTACTTCAGCACATTTAGGTATGAAACGTCGATAGAAGTTTATTAACCCCAGAAATCTTCGCAGCTTTCGAAACGAGTCTGGAACAGGATATTCTCGAATTGCAACTACTTCTTGCGGAGCCGGTTTAACACCGTTGGCATTCACAATGTGACCCAAAAACTGTAGGGATTCTTTGCTAAATTTGCACTCCTGCGGATTGATTGTAATGCCATAATCACGCAGATGTTGCAGGTGCTCTGTTTCAGATGCGCTAGCTACTATTAAGTCATCTATGTATGCACTGACGAAAGGTAAGCCATGGAGTACCTGATCTATAAATCTTTGGAATGTTTGAGCAGCATTTGTCAAACCAAACGGCATACGAATAAATTCGAATAGTCCGAAGGGAGTAGTGATGGCCGTCTTAGGAACATCATTGGGTTCCACAGGAATGTGATAGTAAGCCCGCACGAGGTCAATCTTGGAAAAAATATTTACTTTTGTCATAGAGTTCATAAAATCATGTATGTGAGGAATTGGATACTTATCAGGGACCGTACGCTTATTCAACGCTCGATAATCACCGCAAGGCCGTATTTCCCCTGATGCTTTTTTAGGTACCATATGCAGGGGTGATGACCACGGGCTCTTGGAAGGGCGTATAACTCCCAACTTTAGAAGTTTATCAAATTCCTGTTTTGCTATCTGCAGCTTTTTAGGGTCTAAGCGTCGAGGTTTTGATGAGACTGGAGGACCTTTTGTAAGAATATGGTGCGTCACCGTGTGTTTTGGAGAGGACTTCGTGTAATCCGTTTGAGTGAGCTCGAGAAATTCTCGCAGAAGGATATCGTACTCGGAAGTGTTGTCTATTGGAGCTACGACTAGGTTTATTGTTTTTGTCTCCGTAGCAATACCGGTGATAGAAAATTCACTATTACGGCTGACTAGTCTATGGCAACTAGAGTCGACCAATAGTTCGTAGTGTTGAAGGAAATCCATGCCAATGATAGGCGACGATATGTCAGCGATGACGAATTCACACTGGAATTCTGTGTGGAAGCAAATGTCTAGGACCAAAATCCTGGTTTCATATGTAGTAATAGCAGATCTATTTGCCGCTTGTAGTTGGGTTGGGTTGGCGTTTTTCGGAAGGTGTGGGTGGGATCACGCTCACTTCAGCCCCAGTGTCAACCAGAAACTGAGCTCTGGTCTTTCTATCCGTCGCTCGAAACAAACGACTGTGTTGTTGTACACCGGCGACAGCATTCGTCACTGATCAC